ATCAAACCTCGCCCGCCCTTGGTGGGCTCGTTTGATCGGATAATTTTTCAAGAATTTCACATGACTTTGTAATTAAGATCAAAAGTTATAAAAAAATAATAAATTAACGCAAATTTAATTATAAACATTTTAACATTCACTATATATATATATAAGTTTTTTTTGCTACTGTTATAATAATGTTCTAAAATAAATAAAATAATGCATATATTTTTTAGAACTTTATATTGGACAAATTACTCTAGAGAATATCAGATAATACAATCAGATCTTGATGGAAAAAACTCTCGAAGTATTCTGCATTCTGAATATAAGAGGTGGTTACTCCATACATCAAATTTATTAGATGTAAAAATTGACGATATGAATATAACAAAGAAGCCGCTAGTTTATTTGCTACACCACTATTCTTTGATTGTGACAGACATTAACGTTTTTATGTACAATTTAATTTTAAATTCGACAAGATTTAATTATCCAGTCGATGAGATTAAGGACAATATCATATTTTTCAAATTTTTTACAATTGACAAGACAAACATTTACATTTCTGCAACTCCGAACATTATACTTGTTTTGGAGAAAAAGTATGCACTTCTCGAGAGCGCAGACGCATTCAACCACACCAAACAGATAAAAGCATCTTCCTTGTGGATTAATGACTTGTATGCTTTCGGTAAACCTTTGCAATCGTATCCTCCGAACAGATGTCTGACACCTGACGAAAAAGTTTACAACGAATTGATGTACACAATAACGACGAACAGCATTATCGTAAATCTTCCGGAGCTTATCCCCAAGAGTGGATGCAAAAACAACTTACCTGCCACTTTATATACCATCAACATCATAAGCTATTGTTTGGACAAGAAGCTTAACAAGTTCGATAATTTCACCGTACAGACGTACGAGCGATATTACGAGATTCAGAATTTAACGCCGTTTACAGAGTACAAGTTACTGCTAGTAACAAGCAATTTCTATTTTGATCGGTTATCAATGGACCCGTTAATCGGCTCGGAAGTGATACTAAGAACTAAACCGAGTAAGCTCGACGCACCGGAAGATGTGATAGTTCAGGCTCTGACCCCTACTATAGCGGCAGTTTATTGGATGCCAATCAAGAAATTAAACTGCGCGTTCGTGATGTACAAAATATACTGGACGTTAATTACCAACAGTACGCGAGAAACAAGACAGTCCTTAATTATCAATAAAACCGAGCATAAAGTAGACAGCAAATTTTCCATAATCGAACCATTGATACCAGGACAGAAATACAGAGTATATGTAAGCATATATCCAGGCAACTTCAGCGAATATTATAATAATAGTTTGAGCAAAACTTTGTACATGTATTCGGAACCAAACAATATAACTTTGAACGAGGTTAGCATAAACGGTATGAATATCTCGTGGATTCCTAGCGTTAATTTGACAATTCAATACGTATTGGAATACAAAAATGTTGAGATGCTGGAGTGGCGGAATGCAAACAACTTTGAGCCGATTAACGAAGGGAAAGTAATGTACTATATAGAAGATTTACTACCAGGAACTCGATACGAGTTTCGTTTGATACTGAGATACCCTAAATACGAGAAAGACTTTACATGGCCATCTGATGGAAGATTTACTTTTTCAACACTGACAAGTAAGCAAAGAAAGATATTATAACATTATATGCTTATTTTAGATATAAAAATGCTTACAAAATTTAAAAGCTTAGTAATTTTTAATAATAAAGTTATAAGTAGGAGTAAGTTTTTAAATAAAATAAAGATATATTAAGAGTATATTTTTGCGTAACAAAGGTGATATTTTGAGCACTCCTGGAATATCGGTTATGCAATATTGCCTATCATTCACCGTAAGCTTTGTCGCTACAGTTACTGTAATCTGCGTCTGCTACTTTTACTATTGTAAGTATAATTGATACACATTTAAGTCTTTAATTGCAGAAAGAGATTATACCTAATGTATTGTAGTAAATAGAGATTTTCTACGAAAAATTAATTTACTTGTTGAAAAAACGATGTAAATTTTGCAATGCATATTAAATAAGTATATTATAACAGTGTATCGAGAACGCAAAAAAAGTAACGAGCAAATTTTGCCTCCGATAATGACCAACATCGAATTAGAGACTTTACATGAGATACCTAACGTTCCTAATGTTCAATTCAACTTATACAGTCCTATGTTGGAATATAATTCGGATAAATATGCACTGACCAAAATCAAACGTGAGGAAATCAAACTAGAAAAACTTTTAGACAGAGGCGGATTCGTTAAGGTAAAAACTAATTTTTTCAATGCGATGTTATACACTATTAATATCTAGATCTACAAAAATTGAAATAGATACGCATTTCTCGATTAAAATAATTACATACATAACTTTTTATAAGAGATTATAAATAATGCAAAATTTTTGTAAGATAATATACACATACACTCTATTATGTATTTTTTGCTAAATTATTTAATACAAAATGAAATATATAATGTCACTTAACATTAAACTATATATTCTTTAATAAAGTACAAATTTAAATTTATTTCAAATATTTCACAGATATTTCAAGGAAAAGTAAAGAATTTAGAAAAACCGGGCATAGAGATATCCGCTGCCATAAAAATGCTTCGAAAAAATGCTTCTTTGCAAGAGAAAAAAAGGTTTTTAGAAGAAGCGAGGCTTATGAATCATTTTCGACATAAACATGTGCTAAGATTGCTGGCCGTCTGCTTAGATAAAGATTCTCCTTCGATCGTTTTGGAATTAATGGAAATTGATCTGCTACAATATTTGAGAGATAGTCAAAAATTGCAACCGTCAGATTCGCACGCTCTGCGTTTGCAAGATTTATTCGCCATGTGCGAAGATGTTGCGCGAGGTTGTTGCTACCTGGAAGATCTGCGTGTCGTTCATAGAAATCTAACGTGTCGTAGTTGCTTAGTATCCGCGAGAGATCGCGAGAACCGTGTCGTCAAAATCGGCGGTTTTGCACTAGCTAGAGATGTTTCTAAAAAAGACTATTACCGCTTGGTAAATACAATTATTAAAAAAAAATGAAATTTTTTAAAAATGTTTGTATGTTCTTTTTTTGTCGTAATAATATAATACAGTTTTACTTTGAATAAAATTTAAGAAAAATAAACTATTTCTATTTACATAAAGCAATACATGTGTAGATAAGTGAACGTTTTTCGTTTTAACACGAATACTCTAAAAATGGACAAATTGAACCAAAAGATTAACTTCGCCAAAATCACATGTTTTAGGTGGGAATGGATTGTCTTCCTATTCGTTGGATGGCACCGGAATCTTTGGTGGTCGGAATATTTACTTCCCAAAGCGACGTTTGGTCATTCGGGGTTCTAATGTGGGAAATTACATCGTTGGGTGAGCATCCCTACACTGACAGGACTAATCTGGAAGTGATAGAATATGTACGCGCTGGAGGCAGGTTGCCAAAACCTCTCAATTGTCCACTAGGTTTGTACGAGTTGATGCTACATTGCTGGAATCCAGCGAATGATAGACCGAACTTCAAACTTTGTCTCGAAAATAAAAAAAAATACAGTTAAGAAAGAGAATATAGCAAGTCACTCAAATTTATTGTGAAAAATTTTATTGAAGAAAAGATCACTCTTTTAGACACGACTAAATTCAGTTTGATCAGCGATAAATTCAACTGAGATAGAATTGTCAAATTCGTATCGTTTCTAATTTCTTCTTTCCCACATATCAAACAATAAAAAAATTAATAATTTTATCTATATTAACAATAAAAAAATACTGCATGTATCGATGATGAATTAATCGTTGTTCCGGAATATCTAAGCCGACGCACGCAGATCACGTAAGACCGCGTAAATCGATCGATTAAGGAATCGATTGCGATATCTGCGGCGTACTCCTAGCTCCTAGTATTATTGCGTAAAATTAGGATTAGGATCATCGCTTCTGCGGCGCGAGCACGTGTCCAAGATAGCGTGGCGAATCCGGATTGGTTCTTTCTTTTCATTTTCTCCGATTATTGGAAACTTGCATCACGTAACACGTAAGTGCCGGCACTGCTGGCTGCGATCGGAAATCTTGCAAGCTTTCGACAGACGACCAGATTTTCTCGTGGCGTTTAGACGTAGTGTAGAAAAGACTCTCATTTCGTTATCGGCTCGGCCGTACAGAAAGCTTCTAAGGGCACTATCGTTTTATTGTGTTAAACTGCTCATGTTGTTTAATTGCTACTTGTTTCATGGCATTTTCGTGCATCGGCACCCGTGAATCAGTGATTGCTACGGCGAGAACATCGATCTCCGCCATTCAACGAGGAGTTCGATATTGCATCAGCCAAAAGAAATCGGCGAAAGAGGTTCCTGTTTATATTCAACTTAAAGAAGCAATGCTTCATTTTCCTAACTATTCTAAATAGAGACTCGCCGGCTTGGTCGGAACTCGACAAATTCAAATACACCAGAAAGTCGATTGTGTATCTTGAAACAAAGTGAAAATTACAAAAGTGAATAGATTTACTAGATTTCGACAAATGAAATCGTAGATACTTTAGTGAATTTCATCAGTTTTGTAATTTTCACATCGTTTTAAGATATATAATCAACCCCCAGATATCCTTGTAAAAGAATCCGATCCTCGTGCTCGTGCGCATTCCGTCCGACGTCCTGGCATAGCGCCCGCTTATAGCGTTCTAGTAAACATATAAATTATGCGAAATACGCTCTTCGAAATTTATTGTCGCTATATATGTGATTACGTATTATTTATAAACGTTAATTACTAATTAATAATATTAATAATATAAAATTAAACAAATCTTTAAAAGTGTAGCTTTTTTTAAAGTAGTGACAAGTATCTTCACAGAAGCAAATGTGTCACAAGAAATGCAGCAAATAAAGAATAATGGTTTGATTAAAGTGCTTCATTTAATTCGATTCGGGCTGATCATTTATGATGGTCTCCAATCACAAATACGCAAGAGCGTTATATGTCATTTGATTAGAACCGCATGATACAAAGTTTCAGTCCTTTAAGAACGACATGCACGAATAGTGGGCTCTCGAGAGCACGCATAGTATATATATAAAATTTATAAAAAAAGGTTATCACAATTACAGTTTTTCATTAAACAAAACATATAGAAAATATATATGATCTGTTAAAACTTGGCGCATGAATAGTGACAAAACAAAAGATTTATAATTCAGTAACTTCCTGATTGTCTATAATTTTCTTGCTTTTCTATTAGATTATATTAAAAGGAACTAATAAGAAAGAGACTAATAACATTTATATTATTGTTTAATACAACCAAATGCATACGTATCAGTGTTGGCATTGGCTTTCATGGAAAAAGGTGAGCATTTATTAACAAAAAGTTTTATAATTTGATGATATGTAAGATGCATCGTGATTGGTCATAGAAAGAAATTTTGAAAAGTAGCGCTAGAAGAGATCTCATGATTGATATATAAACAAATTTCATAAAATGATATATACGTAAGAAAACATCGATTTGATTAGCACCTTGGCATTATCCAGAATATCGAAAAAATCGCTATTCATAGCTAAGCCGCCAAGGATTGTGCGGAAACTGATTGAGCGCAAGTATTTATAAAAAAACAGAATTATTATGTCAAAGACGGTATTATGTGTTTTACTGAAGGTGTTAATGTCAGCGAGAGCGGATATTTCACCAAAGGATCTGAATTCAAACGTCACACAGGTAAGAGATTGCTTTGTTGAATAAAATTAATGTTATTATAGCTAATAGTTCATTTGAGTATATGATAATAAAATTGTAATATAATAATAAAATATATGTACTGTTTAATAATAAAATAGTAATTTTACATATTAGGGCCGATCGCACAGATTTCAATGTCCTTGATATATATTATCAAAGACAAGGCTCTGAGTAACTTTCAAAAGGTTTTAGCCGTCGCTCGTAGTTTATTAAAAAGTTATAAACGAAATAAGTTTAACGGATAGGAAATAATTTTCTGACATTAATATTAAAAAGTACACATACATACACACACAATATAAATGGTATGTATGTGTATTATAAAGCAAAAGCGTGGGTGGGAAAAAATTCTATTTTTAGGGTGTGGGTGGGGGTGCAAGGGAAGGAGCGAAGCCCCTCCCCCGCCCATGCTTTTACTTTATAAACTTTATAATAAAGTAAAACTATAAAATACTTCTTCTTTTTTAAATTTGACGCGTGGGCGGTAAAGATTTACTACGTTTAGTACATATTACTACTTTAGTACATATTCTTAGCAGATTTATTTATTCTTGAGTTATTGGATACATATTTATCATAATAAATAAAAAATCCGTAAATTTTCTGACATATATATACATATACAACAGAACAGAGCTACTAGATATCGAAACAAAGTCGAGTATCGGTATAATGGAATTCCGAGTTGTATCAATTAACCCTAACAATAAAGCCAATAGTCACACAAATCAATAATATACGCAATAGCAAATCTTTTGCTACGTCTTTGAATTTATATATAATTTTTATTATACATATATCCATTATATAGCTATATGCATATAATATTACTGAGATAATGTAGGTTAATTATAACATCATGTTTTCCAAAATTTGTTTGTGTTAAAAAATGTAATAACTAACCGAAAAAAATTTGACAGAAGTTTAAGTATAAGAATTTATATAATTTCTATGACAATATATAAAAAGACAATATTTGTAACATTTATATTCTTGAAGTACAAACATTATAACAAATAAATTCTTGAAAAGAAAAAGTCGTGTTAAAATAAAGTCACTTACTTGGAGAAGTTGACTAACTTATCGTAAAAAAACCAAATCGTTAAACAAAATTGTTTCAACAATCGAAAAGAGCTACACTTTCATGTATTATTTGTTAAGAGAAGCGATTGTGAAGTCTGATTAACCCTCATTAATCTATTCTGCGTGACTGTGGCCTATCGCATACAAATTGACATAGCTACACATGCATATCATAAAACCGTCTGGATGAATGATTATCGAGCGTTAATTCTTTC